TCCTGGATGCGCGTCGGAAAGTACCCTGGACCATCTATAGCTGTCTTGGGTGTAGGCCATCTTGCGGTTTAAGGCCCCCTCGGGGCCATTATGGGCCAAACAATGGCATTGTGCCACCTCGCAGAGAGCCCCGCCCAGCCTCACGGGGGAAGGGGTGAACCTCCCGAGCAGGGAAACGACAGAGGTTTGAAAAGGAAACGCCCTAGACCACCTTCGTCCAGAGGGCTGATAGGATGCATCGCTTCAGTAGCCAATTTCGGCTCGAGATGACCAGACGATTCACGCAGCACCTTCGACACTATGATCAGTCGACGCCCTGCTAGCAAAGCATGTGGCGATGGCTCGGCGCGTGACGACGACCGAGGGGGCAGGAGTACATTGGAGCTGGGCGAAGAGGACATGGCACGCGTGATGGAAATCAGCTGAATGGCTTTGCCACCGCCCGCCTGCCCGATTACCAAGTAGAGAGAAACAACGAGTAATGTGGTGGCGTAACATGTACGATCGTACAGGTGAAGGAACGCAAACAAGACACACCAGACCATAATCGATGAATCGGCATCGCACCCACAATACAACACGACACGCGCAGACGTATACGCACCAGGGTGCCTTCAGCAGGCAGGCGGTCTAAGAACTATATCACACACCCCGAGACGTCATTCAGTTACCCGAGAATGAAGATGAGATCCCCACATTGTGAGGAGACGCTCGTCCAGCACGGTGAATTCTTGATTTCTCTGAGGGCTATCGCATCAGGCGGAGGTTTCAACCAGAAACAACTGGAATCAGTGCTGCAGGAGCTGGCCCGTGCCAACGAACCGAGCTGGCATCTTGCGAGCGAGCTGGAATCATGGGCCGACCAGATGTCCAAGCAGATACGGGTTGCGATGAATCATATCGGCAATGCCATCCGCAAAGACACACCGCCAAAGTGGGCGCAACAGCTTCTGGCACGGGGAGGTGACATCAACGCATCATCCAAAGCTCGGCCAGCCGCCGCTCCAGCTGTTCCTGTCTCACCAGAGGATGCAGCATCAGACGGCGCCGAAGATGGCGAGGAAGAGGAGGGCGAAGGTGACGAGGAGGAGGAAGCGGACGAGGAGGATGCAAAGGACGATGAGGGGCAGGAGGAGATCGATGACACCGACAAATACGTCTTCGAATATCTTCCCGACATGCAGGTGAACACGGGTTGAATCATTAAAGCACGTGTACTATGGTGGCGAGCGTTAGTTTTAGAAATCGAGCTGCGCGTGCGTGAGGGGGGAGCGTTGACCCTCCATTGACCACCCATTGACCACCATTGACCTCCGAGGTCAAATGCGGTCAATGGCGGTCAATGGTAGGTCAATGGGAGGTCAATGTGTATGTCAATGAGGTGATCACTTAGCGTTCGTACGGCCCTGAATGCGGCCCCGCCCGAATCCTCATTGACCCGTCGTCCAGGCGCAACCCCGCCGCTCCAGGCGATTTCGCAGTGGTTCTCGTTGTTTGCTCTCTCGCCCCCAGCCCTGCTAGCATCGCCATACTGTGATTGACGCTTGTGCCTCAGCAGGCAGCGACGAGGACGCCGAAGGTTGCCATCCAGGGGAAAAAGAAGGCCACGCCCGAGTTCACGTCAGTACAGAAAGGCACGAAACCATGCGACAACTTGTTTGCGAAATGGACAGACAGCTGACGGCACACCTGGGAAGTCCAAACCTGATGTTCTCATATGGTCGGGAATTGATAAAGAGAACAATCCGTTGGAGCTCAAGTACACAAACAAACGCCATGCCAGGTGGATGACGTTGTGGCAGCCGCGGAGGGGCAAAAAACCAGCACAGATCATGGGAATGCAGGGGTATATCGACGAGGCCAAGGCAGCTGCTCAGTTCAAGGTGTGGGCAGAGCGATATGCGCAGGGCGAGGAAAAAGTTACACTGGAAGCAGAGAAAAAAAAACTCTGGCTCGTGAGGGAGAAAAAGGCAACTGACAAGGCGGCGGCAGAGGCATGCGTTGACACGCCAGGCACGGAGATAGTTGTCGGCAAGAAACCAGCTGGCATGTTGAAGCGACCAGCCGCTGCAGGGGGGCATGAATCAGATGAGCGATCAGGCATCAAGCGACACCGCCCAGATGTGAAACCAGAGTTGTCCAGCGATGTGCCAGATACGGCGTGTGTAGATGTGGGTGCATATAGGGGCGGCGCGGCATCGCGCGCGGGCTCGTTGGCAGATGCGCAGACTGCACGTCCAACAGGTTTGCCGCCGCTCCCGTCCGTAGGGGCGGAGTGGTTTCCCTCAATGTGAACAATGAGGGGTATGTCCCTCGCAAGTGAATCGCTGGTGAAAAAATACATCGTCACCAACATCAGCATCATTACCATCATCGCAACATATACCACAATCATTATCCACCATAAGTGCATCCCCCAAGTGTTGCACATATGCATCCCCCTATCGCGATCATCCCGAAACCCGCAATGTCAATCTCATCGTTGTCACCATCGGAAGCGGGTGGAACAAGATATCATGTAACATCGTGAAAGGGGGTCGCTCACCCCGAGTTGTAAGCCCCGCTCGTCCCGACCATCCCGTTTCCGCAATCTGCCGAGTCATTCTCCGCCTACTTGTATCATTTCCTCTTCCTCGGTCTCCCTGCGTCCCTCGTCCCCATCTTGCCTCCATCATATGTTTCTCCCCAGCACCATACAGCACGCATGCGGGGGTAAGGGAGGCGGGGCGGCCTTCGCTGGCCGAGCGCACGCCCGAGGCCGCGGAGGTCGGGGGTCGCGGCGGGGCGGCGGCGACGGGAGCGGGGCAGGCCCGATTCGGCACCCGTCGTCGCCGTCACCACCGTCGTCGTCGGCATCGTCGGCGGCGTCGTCGGGCGAAGACGTCACCATCGACGTCTTTGTCCGACGTCTCGGCCGTCGTCGCCGACGCAAACCTTTTATCGGCCAACTCATCCTATCCTTGACGCTGCGCGTATCCACGCCATCCCATCCAGAAACGATCGACAGGTGAGGTTGTGAATCAGGGGCGGCAATGCGCATGCAGTCACACAACTGTCTTCGGGGAACTACGGGTCACACATAGCTTCCCGCATTGAAGTTAACTTTGGAAATCAGTGCAAGCTACGATAGTGCTTCGATGAGAGGTGAAGGGGTGGTTCGATGACTGGTGGTGGCGGTTGCACAGATTTGCATCTCAAACGTGCATGCGTTTCGAAATTTGGAGCCATCGTGGGGCTCTATTGGGGTTCTCCTGGGGCTCTACTGGGGCCCTCCTGGAGCTCCGTCGTGGGGCTCGCTTTAGGTCCTATGGGGGCCTTCGTGGAGCCTTCTTGGGGCTCGTGGCGGGCGTCTTGGGGCCCTCGTGGTGCTCTTTGGGGGGGGGGGGTATGTGAGGCCCCTTGGGGCGTGTGTGTGATGCCTGAAGGGCACCGTGGGGCCGTCTTGGACCTGGTCGCAACACAATAAAATCCTTAATTCGGACCTCCACATCGGGGGCTCGAACGTGCCGTCCTGGGGCAGTCGTGGCCCGCTCTTGGGCGCCCTTGGGGCCGTCTTGGGGCCCTGTTGGGCCCCTCTTGGGGCTATATTGGACCGTCTTGGGGCCATCTTGAGGCCTCAAGCCCATCGGATGCGAACAAGAGAGAAGGCAACAACCATTGGTTTGCCTTAGGTGTTTGAAGGATGTTGGCCTCCTAGGGGGGGGAGGGGGGGGTATCAGAAGCATCGGACAGCACTTGAAACCGCCGTGATGTAATCTTGAGGCCTCTTGGACATATGTCGGACGCGATCTGGACCAATCTACCGTTATCGTGGGCCATCTTGGGGGCATCTTGCGCTCTCTGGGATCCTCTTGGAGCCATCTTGGGCCATCTTGGACGCTGCCATGGGTCGGCCCCCCCCCCCCACCCCGTCCAGACGCATCGAGGGGGTGGTAAACCTCCCAAACAGGGAAAATAGTGAGGTTGTAAGAGGAACCGCCTTAGACCACCTGTGCCCAGAGGGCTGGTGGGACTCCCGTCCCTCCACCTCCTCTCGAGCATTGAACGGTTATTTAGATAGGCAGAGGTTTCTCTCATCTCACTCCTCCTCCTCATCCTCCTCCAATGCGTCTGCCATGGCAATGCAACGCCATGTGCTGCTTTCAATGCGTCTGCCAGCCAGGCATCGGCTGGCCCAGCGAGCAAGCGTCGCAAGACGGGCGCTCAGCAGGCCGCCAGTGCGGAGGAGGCAGCTGGCGCTGAGGCTCCTGGCGCTGAGGCTCCTGGTGCTGAGGCTCCTGGTGCTGCGGCTCCTGGCGCTGGCGCTGCCGCTGTTGGAGCTCCCC